GTTTGTCCGTTATTCATTGGTGAATTATTGAATAAGCCCACTTTATATCTATGTAATGTGAAGTTTGATTGGTTCTTGGGAAGGAACACGACAGGAGGAAACATGGTTTACTAGGCTGAGGATAGGACATACAGGACTGAACAGTAATTTACATAGAATAGGGAAGCATGAGACAGGTGTGTGCCCATATTGTGAGGAAATAGAAACTGTGACGCATGTACTTTTGATATGTAGGCAGTATCATGAAGAGAGAGAAAAGATTAAGAGGGTAACAAAATCTGTTAATTTAAAGTGTGTATGTCAGGTTAAATTTGTAATTATGATTAACACAAAATAGTTAGGGGAAAAACACGTTTGTCAAGTTGGTGTATTGTTTTGTATGTTTTTCGATACCTAAAGGCAGAATATAAGATGAAAAAGTTCGTTATTTTCAGTACTCACTTAAAACTGTTCCTCCCCCCAATCGAATCACTGATGTCATAAGAGGGAGACGTCTTCCCAGGTCGCTGAGAGTGAGTCAGTGAGCTGTGTTGGTAATTGTACGAATGATAAAGCGAGAGACTTATTTGATTAGGACATTTATTTATTTAGTTATTTAAGTTAGGTAGTTAGTTAGGTATATGCAGGAAATAGGTTTGCCAACCGCAATTAAACCCTGAAGAAGAAGAAAAAGAAGAAATGTATGCAGGCGTATTATCACGATGGTGAATTACTGCGTTTGTACTGGGTGCAAAAACACCGTTAAAACCGGTCACAGAGTCCACTTTTTGATGACAGCCGCGAGACTAGCTCTCAGAATATCAGCACTTCGGCAAACCTGACTGTGGCGAGGGGGCGTGAGTCTGTAGCGGCTGCGGGAGAGAAAGGACGGAGCCGCACGGTGAGATTAGTAGATCAAGTGCAGATGATGAACACCTGTAATTTGATTGCAGTAATTTTCCGTGGAGAGACCGTATATAACCGGGGAATGAGAGAGCGAGCGAGAGAGAGTTGGACTGGGACTTCACGCGGCTACTGCAACCGAGACTGAGAAGCAAGTGTTGGATCGCGTGTTTGTTTATGGTGGCGAATGCGCTACTGTGCGCCTCGTTTCTTTTTTGTTTTTTTTCTGAATAAACGAGTCCCAGTCACGCCGACCCTGTCTTCTTTCCACATACTGAACCTCTTCACACTGACCTATAGGCTACCGCACATCTCTACCGCGTATCTAACAGTAGTTCCGCATTAATTAATTTGCACGCGAGTTTTATTTATTTTAACCCTGTATTCTCCGTGTATATTCATGCACCGAACCGTGACGGCCGTACGTTTCGGTTCAATACGAATACATGTACCGTTCCACCTCTTAAGTTATTGCCTATAGTTTACCAAGACACCTGACCAACTCTCCACTGGTTCTCTTCACACCAGATATTTATGTTTCTTCGATAGGAATTATTTAAATTTCTGTTTGGTTCCTCATCTGTCTCACGCCTGGGAGGCTCAAAATTGTAAGGCTGTGGGCCATCGTATAGGTTTGAGGGGGATTTTGGATCTTCTCAGACTCAAAACTCTCCTTACTTGAATAGAACGTTTTTGTCACATCTCCCTCTTATGACATCACAGGCAGCTCCACTGTGTTTTAAAAATATGATCTTGACAGAAATGGCTATAAAACTTAATGTAGGGCAATTACAGTAATAATTTTAATGATAATTACATTTTCACTCAGACATCTAAACATTATTTAATATATCTAAAAAAAAATTTTAACCTGACATACACACTTTAAGCAACTTGTTGAAAATACCAGGGATACAGTCTACAATAAAAGCAGTGATAGAATTTCTTAAAAGAACACAGTTAGCAAAAAGAATTTAGCCTTAGTGTTTATTTTAGTTTTATTTTCTATGGAGGTTGAGTCGAGGTTGAAGCTGGAGGAGCTAAACACGTAGTGCCAGCTGAAGCTTGGGCTCTAACTCTCTGTTATTTATATTTATTAATTTTTCTCTCCCAATGTGATCACACCCATTCCAGTAGATGGCGGTAATGCACATACCTTGCAAACTGCCAATAAAAATCACAGAAGAAGAAGAAGAAGTTCTTGGGAAGGGGGAGGGAAAAGGAGAGAGAGTCGAGTCGAGGCGAAGGAGGAAGGTGTGTGTCGAAGCGCGCCGATGTATGTGTGAGAGAATCACGATTAATCCGAATAGGATTGATTGATTTTATTTCTTTGAGCAACGAAAAGTATTGAAACTATCAGAAAAGTATTGATTTAGCAGCATTGATTTTGTTTCGTAAGGTTTGCCGGCTGTAAACTGAACGCTGAGTTGATTTTCTGTTTAGCCGTACACTTGTGTGAGTTCCAGGCGAGTTAGTGCTTACTACAAACGAAATATTGACTAAGTAGCTAAATACTAAAGTGGACTTTAAATACCAGCATGAATAGCCGTGATAAGGAGAAGCTGCACGATCCAGGTAGCGCCCTGAATCACCGAGAGGTTCAGGGTTCCCCTGGCAACGGGGGATTGCGAGGATCGCCAGGACGCGCATATCAGTGAGAACTGAGTGATTAAAGTTTCCTAACGAGGGAGGACTTTCCACTACGGAGTTGAGGTAGCACCTTTAATATTTATTTGGCTCTTTGGAGTGAAGCGGCCAATTATCCTTTTGTTTGCGGCCACAACGCACTCGAGCAACGGTTACAGGCCTGCAACGAGGGGTGAGCGTGATTGTGTGTGTGTGTGTGTGTGTGTGGGCCCACTAAAGTTAATGTGATTATTTGTCAAATTATAACTGCCGTTTATTTTCCTGAGGGGTTTTTGAATTATTATTATTCATTTTCTGTTAAAGGGAAGTTTCATTTAGCCTATTTGTAAATATATGGGCATTTAAAAAGTGTAAAATCATATTGAGAGACATTTGATTTATTATTGGGTAAAAAGAGTCATACTCAACTGTAATTCATATTCATTTGTGATTGATATTCAATTCTAAAAGTATATTAATCTGAGAAATTGTGTATAATTTTAGGATCCCAACCGACCTGTTGTGACAATTTTAAAATAGACAGTACATTGTAATTTAGGCCTACTGTTTATTTATCCTCCTTTTTGTTTCAAATTTTCAATTTTTTTTATTTAATTTCATATTTTTGTTAATAAACATTTTAATCGTTTACTTGAAGTGATTTCATCAAGTCTTACTGATTGGTTTGTTTGGAAGTTAAATTGAATATTTCTTTTGGGATTAAGTTATTCTCATAAAATGCCTGATTATAGCTAAACTGAGGAAATAGGGAGTTGTGCTAAAGGGTGTTAAGTGAGTTCCCTTATAGTTTAGTCGAGAGACTACAAAATTCGAACCTGAGTACGTCATAATTGAGAGGGAAGAGGGTGCTACATTAAGCTACATTAATGAGGGTGCTACATTAATGTCTCAATGTTAATCATTGAGACATTAAGCCTCTAGTTTTACCAGTTTCATCAGGTAAATATTACCAGGTAAGTGACTGACTTCTCAAAGTAGAGTTACACTAAAAGGCCCTCCATTTAATGTTTGAAGCCCAAAGTATCAGCTTGTGATTCGCTTGCAGACAAGGTCCAAACGCCAAATCTGACTTTGTGGAGGAAATAAAGCTGGGTTATCTGATTGTGGCAGATACCTTTATAGGAATATATATATATGAAATATTGATAAACGTGAAATTCTATGAATAACAAATTCAAATGGAAGACGTACAATCCTAAACAAAATGTTTCAACTTGCATATGGTACAACTTACCTCAATAGGAAATTACCATTAGAAGAAGTGGTATTCAATTTTATAACCCTCCAGGAGATCGCAGACAGTCATAATGTAAAAATAAATTATTTTTAACTCTGTTGCCTTTATGTAAAATTGCCATTGTAAAAATGAAGAATGAATTAAATTCGAACAAAGTCAGTTTTGTTAACCATTTTATCAGTCTTTCGACCATTTTTTTTCATTTGCTAACTTATTTGGGTGTGTATAATATTTTGCTGTAATTTCAAATAAAGTTTATTTTTTTACATAATCTGAGTCTGAATTTATTACACATACAATAAAAGGGATGTCTCTAAAGGACAGAAATTGATTTTCTCCAACCTTCAGATACAGTACCGTCTTTACACAACCTCTTTACAACAAATACTCGATGTATAATACAGTATAACAATATGCCTTCAGAACACAATGGTTGCTTGTTTCTTAATAATTAATTTCCTTGAGGAATCTTTTGATTAAGAGGAAGAATCAAAAGGGCATGTTTAGGTAGATGAGGAAGGAGTGATAAAGGTCCGGAGAGTCAAAACTGCTGTGTCATAAGGGCGTCCGATACACATAAAACTAATTCCGGTATGCACAATGTTGATGGGTCAGGGTCTGTGACTATCTACATATGGTAATTAACATGTCTACATGAATGGGTGTCTACGCCTGCTAGTGTAAGTTAGCAGGAGGTGCAGAGAGATGCATAAATGGGTGGAGCAGTACATTTGGCAGTACTCGGGTCCGGGGCACAAGCTGTCCAACTGAGCACATGTGATCTGTGATCCTATTATTAACAATTAACAAGTGCTTTAGTAGAAAGGGATCTAATATTCAGCAAGCCAAACTTTATCAATTGTTCATTTGAGTGATCTCCAGAGTCCTTGCAATCAAGGGCAACAGTCAGGATATGGAAGTAAGAAATATCCATTGGGAAATTTATTTTTGGCGTAAACTTAAACTTTTAAGAATTTTGGCAAACGTTATAAAAACAGCTCTACTGTGAGCAACAACATTGTTAATAGAAAGTTATTGCTTCTGTTGAAGCCATCATCCTGCAATATTGCAACCAGTTTCTAAAATATTATTTCTAAAATAATCGTGTTTAGCAGTGGATTTTGTGGTGGAAAAACTACATTACCCATAATGTCAGGGTGATTTCTGTTCACAAAATTCCACCAATCAGAGAGCCGCAACAAGCAAAACACGCCAAAAGAGCTTTTTAGCTCACTGCCATGAAGCACTATGAAGGATGTAATCAAGTCAGCCTCGCTATATGCACAAAATATACTTAAATATTTGTTCATAATGCTTCGTGGGATTGTAGTTCTTTTCTTCTCAATAGCAGTTAAGTACATTATTGTACCTTTGCATTTTGTCCAATTTTCAAATACCTTTTTTGATTAAAATTAAAGCAATTTGCGACGTTACAATTCACCTCATAGCTGGTTGGTTTGGTTCATTGCTCATAATAATTAAACAGAAAGTTTTTAAAAGTCCCAAAAGAAAAAATTAATGGAAAAAATACTTCCAGAATCAACACCGCTGAAAAAGTGGGTAGGCACTAATGCAGACAAACAGACAGACAAACTATTATCTTCCCTCAATCCCAAAGAACATTTGAAAGATATCAGCACATCCTTTGTCATTAAGGGAACTGATAAAGCTGACCAAGGTCCATGTGGTTTCCTCTGGTCCCGCGAGGGTCAAAAATGGCTTCATGAAATCCAGTGAACTTGCGAAGGGAGTCAGTTCTCTCCTCCATCGAGCCGTTTTCCAAAGGGACATCCTCTCTGTGTCGAATCATAATTCTTTTCCATGTTAAAACTTTCACCCTAAAAATACATTTTTAAAAAAAGCACCAATAATAAAAATTAGCTTTAACCTCACAGTAATATAGATTATATTTTAAAAGATATTCAAATATAAAAGTTATTTTAAATTTTAATATTTCATTCACAAATATTACTGTTTTTAATCAAATAAATGCAGCCTTGGTGAACATAAGGGACTTCTTTCAAAACGGACTTCTTTCTTTATAATCTTCTTCAACATTTTTTTCCAATATAATATAATAATTAAAAAAAAAAAATTAAGATGGTTTGCATCAACCATAAAGTACGGTCAATTATTAGTTGCAGAGAACATAAAACAATTAAAATTAAAAGTTAATCTACTGTATATGAATTTGCCTATATCAGGGGTTTTCAAACTTATATTTGCAAACCGAAACACTAAAATATATGTCTAAGTTCAAGAAATGTTTAACAGTCATCTAAACACACACAGGCCCCTAACATAATGAATGAGATCCTCACAAGTATAGTCAAAATTACACACACACCGCCACACAAACAAATCTATTTTAAATTAGGTATTAAACCCGTCTTTGGTATTTAGAGTTTGCACTCAAAATGCGTGTTCACAAAAGAATAAGAGTAGACCCTACTGATTTGGTTTAGATTTCAATTCATACCTGGCCCAGAACTCATCGCAAGCAGACTGCAGACCCTCCACACACACAATACCAGGCTTTCCCGGCATACTGAACCCAGAAAGGTTCAGCTCCTTTGCCCATTCCAGAATGTTCTTTCTCTTCATCTTGTTGTAGATATGATGGCTGTAGATCCATACCTTTTGACTAACTTGTCATTCTGATGGCATTCGTGAACACTCAGCTTGTTTACTTTCACTTCTAAGTTTATTTCGAAAACATAAACAGACTAAATAGACAGGTATCATCTGCTTAGTTCACTTCAATTTTTTTACAATATTTTCCTAAATTTAATTTGTATTGTTTCAAATACCAATTCTCACATTAGTTTCTCTGATTTAGTGATCACTGCTGAGAGACTTAAAGCTTCAACCTAATGTTGTGTGTGTGTGTGTGTGTGTGTGTTTAGTAATGCCTTTGAATAAATTACTATATTTTTAAATATTACTTACATTATAGTAAAATATATTTTATTTTCTCTGTTGAGGTTTTGTTGTTGTGGTTAGATTTTTTTTGTTTTTTTGTTTTGTTTTTTGTAAACAGTCCCTGCCATTTTTACCCTTCTATTATTGTCCAAAATAATCTCTAAAAAAAGAATTTTGAAAAAGAATGAGTGTGACATGAGATGAAATGATGAATGTTTCAATAGATCTTACAGTAATTGCTATGTGTGTTTGGTATATGAACAAATGTGAATGTTTTGTAAATGTTTCAGTATGTGGAAATCCATTAGATTATTATTTTTTTTCTCCATTTTTGAACATTTGTAAAAAGAAACAGTATACAGTTAAAGTATACAGTACTGGGTATGCATTTAAAAACTAGCAGAATCTGCTCGTCAACGACAATTTTTTTTTTATTAGTAACAAACACATAAACATGTTTACCTAAAATTCCAACAGAACAAATGTAACTTTCTTAGATCACAGACCCATATAAAGTATATATCTTTAAAAAAAGAATTGTCCATATAACAATCAGATGTTAATAAATGTGATATCTCAAGAGAGAAGAAAAAGAAGCAGGTCATTTTAGTTTTAGAGTGTCAGCGATAGAAAAGAAGTACAGCTGCTTCAGTTATCTCTCTGGAAGCACTCCATTCTCTATGAGTACTATAGCCACTGACGTCAAAACTAGTAAAGTCTCCACACTGCATAGGGACCGCCTCAGGGAAGTGTCCACCTCCACCAATACAGAACTGCAAAAATATGAGTGAATTAATAACAAAACAACATACATGCATTTCTTCATATAACATTGGTGCAGTAAAAAAAAAAAAAAAAAAAATTCTGTTGAAATTGTATTACCATACTATTAATGGATTTTCTCTTCATTTATACAATGAAGCATGAATAACTGCCCGTGGTGATCAAATGCTGTTCAAAAACACTGTTGTAAATAATCCATTATTTGTTTAACTCACATGTTCAGTATGGCAGCCGGTTGGTTTAACCCCCGAACAAAGAGCCATGGCTGCCTTTTCAGTATTGAAGACTCTGAATGTGATGAATCCAGCATCAAATATTCCTGAAAAAAGCACAGAATATATAATTGATGATCTGCCATGAAAGGTCCATGCACACATGACATGGCTTTCATTCATTAAACTGATTAGATCTCAACATTGATGATGCTTTGCAAAAAATAATACACCATAACTGAATAATACACAGATTTTATGACAGCCACTTGATACCTTCTTTAAAATATCAGAAAAAATATTATCTCAAGAAGTATTTTTGTACCTCTTGAACTAGGTCCGTACAGTTGTTTGGTAGAATCCTTACTTCCAGTATCATACACTATTGGAATAGCAGGTCCATTATCAATGTTGCATGTCCCGATTCCAAACCTCACAGGAAATTTCTACGAAAATTAAGAGAAAAGTTTGCCCACCTATATTTCTGGGAATGTTTAAAACTCAAAACTGGCATTACATTTTATCTGACCTTAAATAAATGGAAAAGGTTTCCTCCATGTAGAGTTAAGAAGCGATTTTCAGTGTGGTATCTCAGGATGGAGGCAGTGGTCCAGTGTTCAAACGCCATATTATTAGGAACATGCCACACAGACACATCCTGTGCCGCAATGTCAAAGTATCCAGGATTCTGTCAAATCAAGTCATATTTATTTATATAGTGCTGTATATAAAATGTAGATTGTTTCAAATCAGATTCACAGTAATAAAAAGAAAAATAATGATACTGTTGCGAAACTGAATTAATGAAACGACTTTGGTTTCAGCAATAAAGCAGCTCAAAAGTAAAGTAATTATTCAGCTCAATTTATGTTCATCAGTTATGAAACAAATTGTTGGCTTATGATTCAGCCATAAAACAGCTCTATGGAAGATAGTATCATTATCCAGCTCAATTCAATGTTGATTTAATCAGATCAACACAAGTTTGTCATTCAGCTATGAAATCACCACCCACAGATATAAAGCAGTTACAAAATAAAATATAATCAAGCTCATCTTCAGTTCAAGTTTTGCTCTCATTCAAAAGTGTGAGTGCAGTCAAATTGATAATATCTCTCAATATTGCTTGTCTTTTTTTTAGTAACAGGAAGGACACAGACTGTGTCAGATTCTGTTTTAGATTAAACATATTTTGATTGTCAGTCCAGGGACTTCATGTCCTTTATATTGCTTCCCTTAAACCAGGGTTGTAAAATGTAATAATAAAGTACCTTATAATCATCACTTGTAGCAGCCTCTGCAGTTCCAAATATGACTCTGTTCGCCCAAGTCCCTTCACCATCAGGCCGGTTTGCGTTGCTGCCCTGCTCACTAGACCAGCGGTCACCAACAGTACACTTTCCATACATGTTGTTTTCATGAACACTGGCCACAAGCGTCCAGCCTCCGCCCGCAGTGGTCATATCACAGAACGTCTGGTAAAGGACCCCTCTTGATGAGATCAGATAGTACAGGCCATCTGAGTGAACAGAAGCATTGAGTAAGCTAAACTGCCTTAAAATAAAAAATAAAATAAAAAATAATAATAATAAAAAGACCATACCCTCATAAACTTGATATTTGTCAAGAATTTCTTTGCAGCTTCGAGCAACGTATTTAATTCTGTCGAGAAGTTTTTCAAGCTCGTGGTTGCTATTGGTATCACTGATATTAATACATGGTGCTTCTGTTTCTTGTATTACATACATAGCTCCCACTGTAGAAAGATCATAAAAAGAGTAAACGCTGGTTTTGCTGTAATGCAAGTTAAAAAGTGAGTCAGAAAATGTCACATAGTGATAAATATTGTGATAAAACACACACACACACATATATACATACATAATTACACTTACTTGATTTAGCATCACAGAACCATAAACTCAGTGAGAGACTGAGAAGGATCCCCAAAAACATTTTTATAAAGACAGTCTGCAAACAAAAGGAGAAAGGTTCTTCGTAGTTCAAATTGAAACCACACTCTGAAAATATGCACACCCGAAATTGGTATTTGGTTCCATGTTTTTGTGTAAATGTTTACTAAAAGCAAACTGTAGTTGACAAATCGATTTCATACATTCAGCACTTTAATCAATTCGTTACTCAATCAATTTAATCAATTTCAATTGATTGATCAATCACTTTAATCAATTTCACACTTCAATCAATTCATTACATTCAATAAATTATCAAATCATATACCGTACTATGTCGTTTATTTGTATTACCTGAAAAAGACAGCACGTTAACTTACCATTTCCATGAGCCAGTAAGGTATAGGTTTTGTGTAGCCTACTTGGTGTCTAAAGAACAAATGTTAATTTATATCTTTTCTTATCAAATGATGACAAAGATTTCCTGGCAAATACAACAAGGAAGTGATATTGTCATCTCACGAATCCAATAAACCCATTTTTATCAAGGGACAACCTGTAGATGTTGCTGAACATTAACTTGAATAATTGAAAATTGAAAAGTTTTTTTTTTTCCACAGAGGCTTAAGAAGTGATTTTCAGTGTGGTAGTTACTACAGGATGGAGGCAGGTCAGTGTTCCATCTGAATTTTATTAGGAGCACATGCTGTGATTGCAAAATATCCAGGTTCAATGACAGAGGATAACAGGTTATTAATTCAGATAAGATTTATTGCCATTCATCATTGTCCTTTGATGTTGCTGTTGCTTCATTTAAAACTGGGTTGTAAAATACCTTCTGCGGTTTCAAACATGTTTACAGTGGTCTAGGTGTGCAGACCGACCGCGTGACATTAAGGGCCATATCTTGCACCCAGCGCAATTGACTTTTGGTGCGTTCACGTGTTATGGTAAATATGATGAATACCAAAACCGACGTGGAAAATGCACATGAACACCCCCTCATGTGGTATTTTCCACTGGGTAGCTCGTAGAATATTTTGATGCAGGACTTGCCGAGATAACCTTTGACCTTTTCAAAATGGCGGAGAGCTACAAGTCGTGAACGGTAAAATACAGTATGCCCAATAAAGCTGTTTTTTAATGAAAATATTTAATCTTAGATGCGGTTTTATGTGCACTGTAGTGAACAGTAATTTGCAGCTATTCGTACCCTTTTAACCGCTCAGTAAAGCACATTCCACACAAATTGTAGTATACTGTATGTTTACTAGCTATATAATAGAACATTATTCACAAGATGAACAAGCTAATCTACAAGAAACTGTGTGCAACATAAACTGTAACTGATTGTCATAATTCTGAATGCTGGCCACTGATGTCACTGCCACTATACATTTCTGGAACACATCCTATTGTGACTTATATGGGAGAGAAACAGCTTCTCGAACAAGAAAAAATGTAGGGCAGGATGTTATTTTGTCTATAGTTTGCCACTGCTTTGGCCTGACCTCGCACAGAAAAATATGTCAACAGGGAAGTTATTTTGATAACTTAAAATTACGAGAAGGAACTAAAGGTCACAAGGAAACAGGATTGTGGCGAACAGGACGGCCAAGGGACGTGAGAGGATGGCACGAGGCCGTTGGTGCGATTGCTAATGAGCAATACCTGTTAGCACAGGTCTCGCATCTCTCACGGAGGAGTGGAAGCATAAAGGGGGAGCGACGACGTGGATTATCGAGAGAGGAACTGGCCTGCTTTTGTATGTATTCTGATGGCAGGTAGCCTATATATATATATATATTATTTTCAGGCAGGTATTTTGTTTATTTTATTCAAGTAAAGTTTTACTTTTGTAAAGTTTTACGATTGTTCTCCGGTTCCTGCCTCCTTCTTCCCTGAACTTTGCTACAATGATGTGAAAAAAATAATAACGTTGTGTACAAATAAATCTTTTATGTTAAATACAGCAATTTTTCTGTAAAGAAATTGTCAATTATGATTTCATGGTAACTACAAAGGGATAATTCACTCTAAAATGAAAATTAAGTCATCATTTAACTCACTCTGCTGTTGTTCTAATGCCATATCCCCTCCTTTCTTTTATAGACAACAAAAGGATAATTGTTTAAAAATGCCTGCCCTCGTTCATTATAGCAGAAGATAGTGACTAGAATCAAGCTTTGTAAAAGAAGATGCAAAAGTATCACAGAATGATTCAATTAAATTCAAATGTATTTGTATTGCACTTATCACAATACATATTGTTTCAAAGCAGTTTTACAGATAACGATAAAAGGCCCATTAAATACGCAAGACCATTTAGAGCTTTATAGGTCAGTAGTAGTAAGAGTACTTTGTAATTGATAACTTAATAGGTAACCAGTGTAGAGATGATAAAATCTGTGTTATATGATCATATTTTCTTGACCTAATAAACTCTAGCAGCTGAATTTTGCACTAACTGTAGCAGCTGAATTTTGCACTATCCTTATTTATTGAGGATGCAGGACAACATATTCATATACATATGAATATGTCATAAACATATTCCGCATTTCTCCCTCTTTTCCACAATGCTCCATCATCTGCAGGAATGTTTACTTCCGGAACCTGTTGCGCTTTATTGGCTCTACAAGAGTTGTGCTGGCCAATAAAAATCGTCTTTATTCCCAGGTCTGAAAGACCGGCGTTTCTAGGACAACGACTCAAACAAATGAGCATGGTGTTTCCTACTTTGTTTGGAGAGAAACAAAAGCAAAATCTACGGAGCTGTCGAGCACACCTAAGGAATGGTAAATATGACGTAGATTTTATTAGTTAAAAAGCCACGAACCGCCTGTTTGAATAGACGACGCGCTAATAAAGATAACATGTAAGACACGATTTTTGTCATTAGCGAGGTTGTGTTGTAGAACTTATAGCTAAGTGACCGTGTTTTTGCAGTCTTTCATGAGCCAGCGTCGCAACATCTCTCACAACCACCATCAGAAGATGATCCTGGATCACCGCAAACAGGAGGAAATGCGTGAAGATCAGACCAAAAGCATCGCCAAAGAGCGGCAGATGCAAGCCAGTCTTCAGTCCGAAGAAAGAGTCGAGAGAAAGCGCTTCCTACGCAAGATGCAAGATGAAGAGTATGGCAGACAAATCGAGGAATCACTTCTCAAGGTTGGTTTTTCGTAAATACGCCAGCTGTATGCTCAAAAAAATGCTACGCACAGATGTATGCTGTATGTATTTGTTTGGATCCCCATTAGCTGTGCCCTATGGCAATGCAGTCTTCCTTCTTGAGGAAAAAAACAACAAAAAACATACATTGCACATTTAAGAACATGCATGAAACATTAATCATGCATTTTAAAACATGCATGGATCATCACAATCTATTCTGAATCAACACATTTAACGATATAGCCTATTTAATATTACAATTAAATATATAAAATCAAAATCTAACACTTGACTGTGTTAATGTATGTTTTTAGGCAGAAGAGGACAGACAGTTCAGAGAGAGGCAGATTGAACAGGAAGAGAGGATGGCCAAGGAACTGGCGAGAATTAATAATGAGAAACTGCGAGATGAGAAGATGAGGCAGCACATTAAAGAAAACAGGTAACAGACCAGAGTTGAATGGCACTCAGTAGCGCTGTATTATGGTTTTTTTTTTAGCTTTACCATCATTAAACTTTGCGTTTTATTGGCAGTGTTGAGCTTCGAGAGCTAGAGTTGAAGCTCAAATCTGCTTACCTGAACAGAGAACGGGCAGCACAGATGGCAGAAAAGGAGGCCATGAGATATGAGACAATGGTGAGTGTGAACTCCAAAGTAGTGTCTTACATTTGTCCATCTATTTTGTGGTTTTGCTTATTGTGGTTTTACATATTACCAGCGACAAGAGGCTGATGTTGCCCGTAAGATGAAGGGTGAGCATGAGCGTGCCGAGATGGAAAAGGAGAAACTGGAGCAGAAGAAGTATGAAGAGGTGGTACGCTACCAGCAAGAGCTTGAGCAGCAGCTTGAGGAGAAGGAGCGCAAGAGGCAGGAAGCCTATGAAGAGTTTCTTAAAGAAAAACTCATGGTGGACGAAATTGTGCGAAAGATCAATGAGGAGAACCAGATGTGAGTGTTTCCTTTTCCTTAAGTTTATTATTTGCTGCTACTGGAGCAAACAGACGATATCACAACATCTATTTTAGATGAGTTGATCAGATGGGTCTAGGATGGTTTGAAACTGGCAAGCTTAATTTACAGGGAGCTTCAGTTACGACTCGAGAAGGTCACGACCACTCAGAGATACATTGAAGATTTTAAAAAGCAGCAAGCAGAGTGGAGACGTATGGAGCGAGAAAAAGTGGAAGCCGAGAACAGGCGCATCATGGAGTTTGCCCAGTACCAGCAAAGGAAGGAGGAGGACAGGATGGCCAAAGTTAGAGAGCGAGAGCAGGAGAAAGAAATCCTGCACAAAATGGTACATAAAAGCTCATCTGGGTCATTAAGTACAGGCGAGTAATCAAGATTCAGATATTAACGTGTTCCTTTTTTCCTTCTGATTTAGCTCTCTGAGCAGATCGAGATTGAGAAAAGACAGCGTGAGGAGATTGAGCGCGTCCGTGAGGAACTCTACTTGGAAGAGCAGGCTGAGGCTGCAAGACAACAAGAAATTGTGAGAACTGTCTTACTACATCACACTTTACTGGATGCACTTTAAACGTTTTACAAAGATGACAAAGGTCAATCTCATGATTCCTGTCAATGAAATGTCCAATTCATATTTCAAATAACCCCATGAAATTAAGCCTATTATAGGGCCTTCAAGATTTCCTCAATCAATAATCAAAATACCGGGTTACACTATTTGAAGTTGTCCGTGTTACAGTGTAATTCTACATTTAAGTACTGAGAAACACTAATTAACTACATGCACTTACTATAGGGTTCAGATTAGGGTGTGATTTAAGGTTAGTTTCATTCCAAATAGAGTTTTATATTTTTTATTAATAATAATTTGTATTATTCATTGATGCTTTTTTTGTGAGATTCACTAGCACCATGTAAACGTTTACCATCTTGTCACTCACAGGAAGAGATGGAGAAGAGGATCCGGCAGCGGCTGGAGCTACAGCAGACGCGTCGGGAGATGATGGCTTTCAAGCAGTTGCGTATACAAGCCGAGAAAGAGGAAGAGGAGGCCTTCAGACAGAGGATGATGGCCAAGTTTGCAGAGGATGACCGAATTGAGCAGATGAATGCCCAGAAGCGTCGTATGAAACAGTTGGAACACAAACGGGCTGTGGAGAAGCTGCTGGAAGACAGGAGACAGCAGTATCTGGCTGAACAAGTAAGACCCAAACCTGCAAATCAATCTCAAAACATGCAAATGTGCAGCTCACTCATTAGATCCTTCCGAGTCAGACTATACCCATAAATGCTGATAATGTGGAATGAATGAATCTAAATATTCAACAGGAGAGGGAGGAAGATGAGAGAGCAATGGAGCAGGAGAGAGAGTCTCAGCGTCGGAAGATCATCGAAGAGGAGAGACAGAGGCTCCTAAAACAGCATGCGACAAAACTGCTGGGATACCTACCAAAGGTGAGAACACCACCACACCATAGGACACGGATGCTCAGATTCATTATTTAGAGGATGCATTTGTCACCACACAACTGTTTTTCTTATTTATTAGGGTATTTTCAAAGAAGATGATCTGGAGCACTTTGATGAGGATTTCAAAAAGAATTTCAAACAACGACAGGCTGATATTTTCTCAGATGAGGGTTGGGGAGATAACTAGCAGTTGGGTAATTCCAGTCATGACCACCAGATGGCGCTCTCAGTTAGTTTTTTCTTCTTTTTTTCTCAATCTGTTAGTGCTGGTATACTTAACAGTGCATCTGCCACTTTCACAAAAGATTGGAACAAATTTCAAATTGATCTTTGTCTTTTATGTTACAGTGTATTAAAATTATATTGTGTTACTCTAATTCCAAACTCTGATTTTTGGTTTATGAGGAAAACATTGGCCTCAAATGATTCTATTAATTAAACAGAAGTGAAAATCTAAATAGCCTAAGAATTTATCACATTCTCTGTAAGTAATGTAATGCTCATACTGGGTAATACATTTTTCCCTCTTATCTGATCCTTTGAAGGTGAAATTCACTTGAAAAAAAAATGTTTAATGTGTGATACAAACCATGTTTATGTTGTTTGTAAACTTGGTTAGTCTTTCTCAATTGTTAAAAAGAAAAGCAGAGTGATTTCACTGTTTCCTAAGAAAGAACTGGATATAGTT